GTCAATACATAAAAGCGACATGAACTCACCAGGAGTAAGACTTTACCTCACATGTGCTCTACGTAAAAAGAAATATGGATAAACTGCAAGTTTGATTCACTTTGAAGGACGTGCATCACATAATTTGCTGCAAGAATTAGATCTTAGCTACCTTGCTAATACGGATGAGGTATAAAAGCCATACGAGCCGCTGCAGCTAAAAGCTTCAGCAGTTAAAAAAAAAAAGAAAAGCAGGGTCCAGAGGAAGCCGACCTTTATGATAGGAGTTTGGGCTGTCTCACAAATTGCTTTTACAAATAAAAATTGTGTTCACCCGTTGCACCTTATCCTATATTTCAGAGGTCATTCAGAGCTTTTGAAGGTCAGGTAGATACAACTTTGGTTTAGTCTATTATGTTTCATACAATTTGATTAAGCAGTGAAGGAATCAGTCCCAACATCAAAGGAAATAGGGTTTCAATAAAAGGTTTAATATGGTATTTATACAATTTAAAGTAAATTATATGGCAGATTTGAATATTTTCTAAATATTAATTTTCATGATTCATGAAAATGTTAAGCTAAGGATTAATGGATTAAATAAACAGTTTGTTTTTTTAGTTTTTTTGTCTTTCTCTACCTCTGTATACTCATGACTCATGTATTTGACATTTCCTGTCATATGTTTCTAGGAACAGCTGCAGTTTGCATAAAGAAACTTGTTCATAGAGGACAACAACAAAAAAACAAAATGCTATTCATGAATAAATTCAGCGGCTTCTATGGTAACGACAAAAGGTACACAGTAATAGAAATATACTCTATCAGTTAGATAGCTAAGATATGTTCAGGCAGCTGTAGTTAGTAGAATTGTTGAAGTCCTATCTCATCTTTTTAGCGCGATCACTCAACTATATTAAATATTTGACCAAGTCTAGAGTCTTCTAGGCTTTTGTGAAGATATTGTTTGCATAAATGAGTCATCTTTAAATATAGCATATAACAGTTTGTCTAAGAGAAAAATAAATAGGGAATAGGAGGGTACCAAACGGGGTAAGGTTTGTCAAAGGGGAAGACTGACAAAACCAAACTGCTGAAAAAAGCAAATTATCAGGATCTCCAATGTAGGGTTCATCCACATTAAGTTGAAAAAGGTATCGACACGGAAAAGCGTAATTGTAAAGATGAAACCTTCCGAAGCTTAAGGAGCCATTATGTCACACCTGGTGGAGCTGTAGCACTTCCAGACAGATAAAGAAGTTAAAAAAAGGGAAGCGAGAAGTAGGTTGGAAACAATTAATTTAGAAGAGATAAAAATGTGTTTGTGTGGACTAGTGAAAGAGGAGCAACAAGTAATAAGTGTGAAATCCACAGTAAATTTGCTTGGAGGGGACGGCTTCGAACTAATCATTCTGGGAGGTGGTTTCAAATGTTTGGCCACTGCTTCATCATGAACCCCCAAACTGCACTAAAAGCTTATTGTATTTTCTCAAACCTTCCCTTTTAATCCCTTTTCAGTTCTGTTATGAATCTAATGAACTGTTGACTAAAGGCAGCACATAATGAATTAAACTTTCTAATACAGCAATACTGACTATGCTAACATTAAAAACGCCAAGACAATTTCTCAATATTACTTCTATTGAGACAAAACACTAGATTATCCACTGAGACACTAATATATACATCCAACTTCAAACCGTTCATCCTCTACAAAACCCTCCTGTGGTTTAATACCTGGTTGTCAAATTTTTGAAAGAAGGATTTTTATTGCTTGTATAAATTGGATTATGTCAAAGACTACCATCCTGTGATGTGGGGTCCCTTGGGGTTCCGTTTCAGACCCTATTTTATTCTTGCCGCATAATCTCCCAGCAGAACAGAAGTTAAAGTAAGACTTGATCCTATCTAATGAGTGCTGATTATATAAATGTTCATTACTACTCGGTTTATGCAGAATGCTGTGCAACTGCATATGCTACTGTAGTAAATATCCAATGTGAAAAGGGTAAAAAAGAGTTGTAAAAGTGCCAACAGGTCAGTTTTTAAAAGCATGCTTTAATCCCTTCTCACCAAAGAACATTAGTGATTAAAAAAACGCTCAATACCTACTTTGAATTAAAACAGAAGATTTGAAATGATCTATTTTTGTATTAATCAAAATGTTTGACTTTTTGTACCTGCAAGAAACCAAGTCTGCAGAATGTGATAAAGTTAAAGCTGCAGTAAAAAGCCATCTCCTCTCTCTGTGAGGCTGTTTTATGAATAGGAAAATGGAAAATTAAGGAAAATGTAAAATCTAAATTTGAATGTGTACAAGTTTACTGAAAAAATATTAATATTTCAGACTGGTGCAGAATATCATCTCTTAGTGCTGTTGTTCATCTATTACAATCAGAGGCTAAAAAATCTGAATGTTAGTTCAGCACAAAAACTACAGAGTTTATCTGTTTTGGGAAGGATATTTTAAATATTTTTAATCTGTGTATGTTTTCTTTGCAGGCTTTGCAGGGTTAAGTCCATATGGATAACTAGTTCCTACATTATTAAAATAATCTCCTTTGCAAAAGGAATCTGTGTCTTTATTGCCTTCCTGTTTGTTTGGTCTCCTAATCACATTTTGTTGTGTATTTATTTACCATCTTTATCTCAGACATCGCTTTTATTGTGTGTCTCTTGATAAAACCTGGTATATAATCCTTTGAAAGCCCTGGACGAGAGGGAACCTTACAAGTGTGCATGAAGTGGGTCTTTCCGTCCACTTACAGAACACATCGTCAAGAGGAACACTTGAATGAGTGTTGGTGCGAAAGATCTGTTCCTCGAGACATCATACACCGGATTACTTCTCATATAAGTGCACAAACAAGACAGCTCTAGGTGTTTTTTGTCTTGCTTCAGAAGACAAACAATAACATCACAATGCTTATAATAAAATGAAAGGGTTAAGGCAGATATTTCTGTTTGTATCGAATAAAATTCCATATTGAAACCCTAGAAAGATTGTAATCTGTACAAGACTCAATGCATTTGCGTTAGATAATGGTTTGGTTCAGTCTTGTGCTGAACTAACATTTTTAATTTTTTGCCACCGTCGTAACCGATGGACAACAGCACTTACAGACTTTATTTATGTATTATGAAATATCAATAATTTATCAGAAAACGTGTATACATTAAAATTTAAAGATAAAAAGTGGAGCTCTTCCAGATCCCCTGATATCCTACGGTGGGCTGAAATATTTTCTACATAGGCTGTGACAGGCATGGGAATGATTGTGAAGCTATTTGCATGGCCTGCAAGGGATTGCCTAGGCATGCTTCACCTCTGCAGAGAGATTTTTTCACTAGTCTGCCTTTTACACAGGGAAAACCTAACTGACATTCCCTGTTAGCTAAGGGCAAGTTCCTTTATTTGTTTTCGAAGCTACAACTTAACCACACTCTGCAGCTGTTGTTGGGTTTCACTGTTTGAAAGGATGGGACATCCGTAGTACCTTTCAAAATTATTCACACCCCTTCATTTTTTACAGACTCTATTACGTCACAACAACAGACTTTGGTCAAAACTAACAGCAGCATAGTGGTGGGGTTCAAAAATGAATGGCTGCTGGGGTTCTGGTAATGACGATGAAAGTCTTGAAGCTTTTGGATTCAGCCACTTTTACTTTGACGCCCATAAATAAATTCCACAGCAACAAATTCAGACGATAAGTAAGTAATACATGGAGTCCACGTGTGAGCTATGTAATCTCACTATAGTTACAGCGGTTAGAGGTTTGGCAGGGTTGGGTCACAAAAACAATATCCAAAGGTTTGAGCATTTCACATAACTTTGTTTATTCCACCAGGATATAAGAAGAGTACAACCTATCTAGCTTTTATTCAAAAGTTGAAAGAAAAATGTATTATTGAAATCAAAAGCCAATGGAGGTTTAGTTTGTAGTTTACTACAAGACATCTAGGGAAAAGAAAAGGGAGTTCTGGTCAGATTAGACCACAATTAAAAAAAAATAAGACCCTGAACACACCATTCAGATTGATGTACATGGTGGAAGCAGCTTGATCCGGTGGGGGATGCTTTACTTCAACACTGGGAGATTGCTAAAAACTGAGTACACAGCAATCCTGGAAGAAAACTGTCCTAAAGACCTGACATAATAGATTTTCACCTTTTAGCAGGACAACTCTAAACCAGAGAAAAAATGGACCGATTGAGAGCAAAGATTTTCCCATGTGCTAGAATGGCTCAGTCAAAATCAGACATGAATTGAAGTGTGAATAAAAGCATTAATGCTTTTGCTTCTGATGTTAATGGGGTTGACAAGAACAATCTCAGAAAAAATAGAGAGAAAAGAAAGAGAGATGCAGTTCAAAATACTTCAAGGAGTGGTTCTACAAGTCAAAAAGCTGAATTTGATATGAGTACATGTTAAAAATGTACACAAGGAACTGCAGCTGCGTTGTAACTAAGGGGTGTGTTTGAAAATACACTGACTAATCCAAAAGCAGATCCAGTTTGCCCTGACGGACTGGGCCACGAGCAAAGCAGCTGATCTCTGAAGCCTTCACAGCAGCAGCTTTAACTAGAATTGTTATGGCGTGTTTATGGCGTTAAAGTAGCAGTAAAGAGGGAACACTGTTTATTGCTCCCTGGCTGCCTGGTGGCTATATGCTCCACAAGCTGACAGGGCCAGTAGGCGCAAAAACGACGCAACAACTTGCTCCTGCCTGTTTTCCCAGGATTTCATGTTTTCTCTTTTTAATTCATCCCCCTCCAGCTGAGAGCGCAGGGTAAAGTCCACGCCTGTTATAAAATAGTCCTGTGTGGAGCAGCCTCAGCTCGAACAATTTGTCTTCCACCGCAGCGCGCAGTATTAAAACGCGATCAGCAGCGACATACGCATGAAAAACGAGAAGAAAAATCACAAAGAGTAAAATATTAACATGTAAGGACAGCAACCCTGTGCTTACACTGCAAATAAGACAGCTGCAAGCGGGAAAGAGAATCTGAAACATACCCTCCTGTCACACATGCATCCAAAGGAGGACCATGGATGAGGCGCACCGTTCAGTCCTGCTGCTGCCGCTCAGTGTTTATTTCCCGGTTAGAAGGAGAGGGAGTGGGTCGGTGTTTTGCCGGTGGAGGGCGTAATGAGGGAAGGAGGGAGGAGGAGAAGAGAGAGAGACTGAGGGAGGGAGGGACGCTGTCAGATGCGGGGAAGCAGAAGAAGACAGCGCATATGTGTGCGAAGAGGGGAAAAAAACACTCAGAAATCTCAGTGTCTCTATCTACAAGTGTCATTATGTTAACAAAATAAACATGCGCGTGAAAGAAGGAAATAAATAAAAGGTGACATAATCCCTGATTGATGTGTGCTGCATTCATGCATTGCGCGTGGAATGAATGGTCACTGAACATAAGACACTTGAAAGCCACTGACTGTTTGCTGGTCAATTATATATATATATATATACATATAGAGATATTGGTATATCTATATATTCATGTAATATAAATATTTCTGTTTCTCTCTCTCTCTCTCTCTCTCTCTCTCTCTCTATATATATATATATATATATATATATATATATATATATATTAGTGTTGCACCGATACCAGTATCGGACGGGGCCCCGATACTGCCCTAAAATGGTGGTATCGGTATCGGCGAGTACCAACAAATAGTGCACCGATACCATTTTGAGAGCCATAAGTTTATTCAACCATTGTCACCCACTCCTGGTAGGCAATAAAAAGTTTTACTGGATTCACTTTGTATTAGAGGTAGGCAGCAGCTTGACAAAGCCATGATGGCAACTATTTTTCATTATTATGGTATCGGTATCGGGGCCAAAAAATGGCATCGGCGCAACACTAATATATATATATATATATATATATATATATATATATATATATATATATATATATATATATATATATATATATATATATATATATATATATATATATGCTGGAGCAATATATATAAATATGTTATTTTCTACTTTAATCTCCAGTAAATCAAATATTTAAAAGCTCTAGCATCTTCATCAGTAGGAGCTGTTTCGAGCCGTGTCGTCAGGAATGCTGGGTCCCTTCTGATTACATCAACTGCAGCCAGCACACACATACCCTCCCTACAGCTCTGCTCTGCATGCACACACATGATGGGTTTTATTAACACCCACTGATGTAAACAACAATGACGGTTGCTCGTCACTCAGGTATCACTCCTTCATTGTGAAGCGCTAAATTAACAAGGTATTATTTTGAGAGGCGAGGTTGGTTTGATAGAATTAATCACTGGGAGATTGCTGCTGCTGATTTGATTAATCTGGCGCTGTTTCCTCGGTGAAGAGGGGGCGTATTCAGCAGGATAACAGAATTAAAGGAACAACGCTTTGAACTTCAGAGGTTAACATGGAAGGTCAGAGAAACCTTATCAACAAAAGTGCTCTGAACTTACCTACAGATAAACAGAGTTCGGGCCCAGGGCGCTAACCCCCAAAATCCTGAACACCTTTGTATTGTAATTATATTCTGATTACAAAAGGCATTACATTATTGCATAAAAGCCATCTGTTCAGTGATGAATGAACTATGGGTATCTCTTGGGCTCACACTATATTGAAAAATATTCAAATTTACCTCATAGCATTACACAAACACTTTAAAATTAAATGTTACCTTTTGATGGGTTAGGCTGCGGGTGCAACAAGTTATGAACCATGGTAGTTTGTCTTCCTGTGGATAGTTATGTTTACAAGTCTCTTGTTTGCAGACAAGTTTATTATTTTCTTTCCAAATTATGTATCTATGTGTAACTTTAGATTCAGCTTTAGATTCCCACTTTTTTTTTCACAATTGCTTTGTGAGACATCTTTGTTAGCTTAATATTTCTGACATATAATCACAGATATATATTTTTTTATAATGGAATAATCTATAGTAAAAAAATTTCTGCCAACTGCATAGCAAAGGGTTAGTCTATAAATTTCTCATCCCTCTAACATAATTCAGTATCTATTGTTGACCAACTGCAAAATCTGCTTTAATTTTCTGCAAAATAACTTTAAATACTAATTTGTAGAAGCAATATTTTTCTGCTAACGAGTCACAAGAAGTAACTGGATAAATGTTTTGAATGTGGCATTATATTGACCCTTGATCTGGAGCTACGTTAAGCCTTATTGGTCAATCAACCAATACAGCATTAATAAAACCAGCAGACCATATAAGGCCCTTTGCTATTATTACCAACTCTGCATGTTGGAATGGAAATACCATCTCATTAGTATGTAAGTTTATGTGGAACTGTTTTTATTTTTAGTCCATGCTTGGATGTGAATCAAACCGTACTGAGTAGGTCTGAAAATGGGCATTACAAGCTGCTGATTTGGAAGAGACTGGAGTCACAAGTTACACAGAAATATTACCAAGCATTTAAAGGTATAGTGGAAAATGTTTGTGATTTTTTGAAAAGTCCTCCCCTCTCCACAAAAGAAAAATGCACATACATAACCCTACACTCAAAAAAAGCAAACTGGGTGTCTGTTACCTTATCTTATGTCTAACATGTAGCTTCTACTATATAAAATCATGTTTTGTGGTTGAACAGTTTTAAATCATGTAGATTTAGCATAAAATGCAACAACTTAAAATTTACTTGAATAATTTATGTTAAAACAACCTAATTCTAATGGGTTAAGATTGCAAATCAATAACACTCCAAAGCAGTAGGTGGCAGTAATGAGCACATTCCCCTCTCTTGAAGGCCACGGTCAAAGGTGAGTGAGTCCCCGACTCTGGCTGGCAGAAGGAGTAGACATTTTGAAAAGAAATTTCAAATGTGGAAGAAGGTAAGTTTAATCTTTTATCATCCATCGAACAGAAAACAATACGGCAGCAGACATGTTATAGACAGTTAGTTATTGTCCTCTTTTGCATTTTGGATTATTTATTTGTTACTGGGCGTTTTATTAGAGTGCATTAATATATCACACTGTCGCCATGCTCATAGCTAACTAAGCTTACAAGCTAGCATCCTGAGGTCGACGGCATGGTTGACAACGCGTGCGGATTCATTTACAAAATGAGCTAAGAGCTGATGCAGGCATGGCTGGTGGGGGATAATTGCCTGCGTTTGGTGAATGTAGCTGCAGCTAAAAGGCTCCAGTCACATAGGCTACATTAATAATAATAGTGGTGATGAATTTCCCCCCAATCCGAATCTTGGCTTCACGTGGAGTCCGCAGAAAGCTCGGCACTTAACAGTCATTAGCTCTAAGTTTGGAAACTACCACGGCATCTCGGCACCTTGGCGGGGTTTCTATGTCAACTCCACGTAGCATTAGCTCATCCAGCTACTAACATCAACACAGTAGTTCTTCGCACTATGGAGCTTTCCACAGTCAGATTTTATTCACTTTGTTGACGAGGGAACAAATGTGTGCTACCATAAATGTACTGTTGTGCTGTAGCCCAGCTAGGAAAGCAAATCGTTACCATATTTCAAATGAAAAAGCATTTTCAGAAATGCTTTTTCATTTTAAGAATGTGGCTGCATTGTTTGACTCATAAATGAAATTAGTAATCAATCATCCTGTTTGCATTTTAAATTTCTTCTTTAATGCTTCTCATCATTTTACTTAATTAAAATAAAAAAGAAAAATACATTTGAGATTGATTTTTTGAAAATGTACCCCAGAAAATACATACCAAAAATAAATTTGAAATGTAAATTTTGAAAATGAAAAAGTATTTTCAGAAATGCTTTTTCATTTTAGGAATGTGATTGCATTGTTTGCCTCATAAATTAAATTAGTAATTAATCATCCTATTTCCATCTTGAATAAATGCACAGCACTCATTAACTTTGATTGAAATATGTACAGTGTGATTTATATCAGCCAACAAAATGTGGGCTAGCCTTGGAAATAACTTGTAAGCTGATTTAGGATTTGGTGGTAGATGACAATTGTTAAACTAGTCGGTCATTTCAATGCTATGATAGTTAAATTTACTTTTGTGTACCCTTTCTGTTTAAGCTAACTGCTGAATTTAAGAGGATTACAACCATCAGTTTGCTGTCAAAGTTCTTCTCCCAGCTGGATGCTCATTCTTCAAACTTGATGAGGGTGTTTGGCAAGAAAGGCGGCGTTCAAGGAAGAAAGATAAGGAGCATCATGATACCCATCACCAAGGTATGATAATAGAATAAAATAGAAATTGTCAAACCTGTACCGATTCAATATTCTAAACTTAATGCTTGAAATTTAAAGCGGAAGTTTCAGAGGGATGGAGAGAAATAAAACTAGATGGAGAGGGGTGTAATGTACTTTTATGAAGAAGGATCTGATAAAATTTTAACCTTGGGCAGATGTGACAATGTCCACTGATGTTGCAATGGTAGGTTCTGTTTCCTGGGACCACATGCTTACATTTGACATATTTCTATGATAAAATGTCTTGCTGGTACATAAAACCAATGCACCCATGGATATTGTAAGTTCATATATCATAAAAATTGTCAATGATTTTTACATTTTGAAGAATGTATTATTTAAAGTTTTGTTTGTAAAATCTTCTACCAGTTGATTAAAATGTTTTATCTTTAATTTATTGTCCTACATACTCAGACTGACGCCATTGATGTCAAAAGAGAGTGAATCATCAAAGCCCTGTGTGTGTACCTGAATGAAGAGCCCGAGAACCTTGTGAAAGAATACATGGTATGTAATTTAGTGTGTTTAAAAATGGGACCAGTATAACATATCTTTACATGTATATCCTCTATTTCCCCCTTTTTTCTGTGAAGAACACAGATTGTGGGAGCAGTGAAGCTGCAGTGATGGAGACGACATTTGGAATATTTGTCATTCGCAAGGAAGGTGCAGAGCCAGGTGATGGACCGGAAGATGTAGGTATAGTTCTGGATGGGCTCGGAAACGTGCCACTTGCTGTGGTCATGTTGTTTGCGCTTGTATATGCGCTTAACATCAGCTACCCGCCAGAGCTCAGATACACCTTTGAAGCTTTGCAGAAGATCATCGTGGAGCTTGATGGAAACATACTCTCAAAAAAAACTCAAACACTGAAAACTCTACTTGCGTGTTAGTCACCCTCAATAGAGTAAACTACAGGTTTGGAGTTACTCTAATGGGAAGGCATTTGAAGCCATTTGAGTAGTTACTGAACTGAAAGCTGTGTTTGTGTTTTAATACATCCTGTTGCTATTTTGGGTTTACAAAATAGAATGTTTTGAAATGTTTCTTTATGCAAAGGTAAGGTTTTAAAACAAATTGTTATTTTCTAAAGAAAACTATTTTGATATGGATGCATTATGCTGTATTTTGGTTGTTCTCAAATATTGGTCTTTGCACTCAGTTGACAGGACCACTTTCTGCGTATAACTTTGTAAAGGGCTTTGCTGAAAGCTCTAAATATAGACACCTAATGACAGGGGGCTCCAATTTCCTAACTCAGGAGTTACAACTTTTGTTTGTCTATCTGTTGTAGTTTTTTTACAGACATGATGTTGGACACTGTTTCAGGCTGTATTGTTTGTTGTATTTTCACAACGTAGTCATTTTTAAAGTAAAGCGATTTCAACAAATCCAATTTAGTTCATGTTTTTCTTTTCCAAACTTGACACCAGCTGGGGGTATATAGGCTGACATGTACATTTTAAATAGCTGAATATGTATACGTTAAAAATGATTTATTTTGTGAATAATTACTTATGTTCATTTTCATATGATAAAGTTAATCTCTTACCTAACTTTGTTTTGTGGGCTCAGCACAATAAATTCATGTACTGTACTATTTTGAAAAGTAGTTGTAACTACCCTATTAAATTATGTACCTAATAATCCTATCATACAAGTTTAAATGGCTTAAGAAAATTATGTTAGTATGTTACATTTACCTATATTTATCTAGTTGGACTGACCCCTGGTAATTAAGTAATAGTAATGCAAATACAACACGTTGACCCAACATATTTACCCTTTGTTCACTTAACAAAATTGCTTCTCGCTAAATTAATGCATTTTATTTAGGTGGAAATTATTTCCATAATTTTATTACATTCTGGGAACAAGTTTTTTTTTTTGAGTGTATACGTGTGCGAGAGCATGCACAAGCCCATTTATGCTCATGCACGCTCTGTTTAAAAGTTGCTCTTTGCATCGCTCATAGAAGCTTACTTTCCAAATGATTTGAAGTTTTTTCCACTATGTCAGGTTCACCACCAGTAAGTGAAAATGGGAACAAACAGGACGGCTTTACGTAAACATATCCCCAGAATGATTGACAATTAGGAGGACCACTTATTTTGATGATGCACCGGGAAAAAGAACATTTTCCACTATACCTTTAAGTTATAATTTGCTAAAAAGCTGTATCCTGGGCTTATAGTGTATATGACAGGTATAGCAAGCTGGCATTGGGTAGTAGGCTATTAGCTTATCCTCACAGCTCCTATCCTAAGGTTTGATGGCATGCTTTTATTTCCAGAGCTATATCTCACTGCCTTGAGCCTTATCAGGCTCTTCTCTTTTACAATGAGTCTGACTAAAAGTTATGCAAGGTTCCCTAATCGCTGCCTTGGGTTTGTTTCAAATATGGGCAGCTGGACAGATTTGTCATGTTAATCAATAAAATGAGAAAACCACCAATGGAAATTAGAGCTAAGGAAAACCCAAACTGAGAATACCCTTTAGTGTGGGTCGTTTTAAACAGCCAAAAAAAGGTGGTACTTAACAAAACCTATTTTAAACAAAGAAAACAAGATCCTTTGCATTGATCTGACTATATAATATAGCTACAATTTGGATTTTGTTCAATTGTTACTCATACTGTAACTGTTTTTATCCAAGGTTGAATCTTTGTCATAAACTTGCCTTTAACTCACACAGTGGAAAAGGTTTCTGATTTGCATCCTTCCATTTATGAGGCTTATTGTTCCTTAATCTATCTTCACCTTTTTTTCTTTTTTTTTTTGTATCTTAAAGAGGTTGCAAAGGACAGATCTGAGCGAGAGCCTGAGGATAATATGCCTAACTGAATCTAAGTTCATCTGTTTAGAATTCTGAACTATCAAAGTTCAATTGAAGCCGGGTGTTGCAGGCCTCAAGCTGAATCGAGAGTCTGTCAACGCCAAAAGAGGAAAACAGCTGACTTCTGTTCTAGGAATTCATCATATTTCTGGAATGGAAATGACACAGTCCATTTATGATCTCTATCTCATTAAGTCCAATCTAAATTGTCCTAACGGGCAACTTCATTTCCAATGTAGGATTTACACTTAACCCTCATGTACCATTCATTCGTTTTTATAAACTAAAACCAGCAATACAAAGTGCGCTTTATCCCTGCTGGGGTCGCAAGGGGTGCTGGTGCCTCTCTCCAGCTGTCTACGGGCAAGTGGCGGGGTTCACCCTGGACAGGGTAAGTGAGAAAAAACTTTTTAGAATTTGAATAAATAAGATACATTTAATGCGAGAGATTTTACTCTTTAAATTTATAATGTCCCCACTAAATAAACTGTGATGATGTCAGATACTTGAGTTTTGTGAAACCTTTTTCTAAACCAGCTATAGGGGATTATTAAACTTAACACTGATAAACTCCTGTCCTTCATATACCATCAAGTAAGGTGGATATATCTTCTTCAAAAACACAGAGTACATATATATTTTATTTGGCAGGGCTTGAAAGTTGAGTTTTGCACAGCTTAAGACTCAGAAATAATTATTCATACCCTCTTGTTGTTCTTCAGTCTTGATCATCTGGGGCTCTTTTATCCACCCTCAACGGTTCTACCTGTCACTTCTAACTTATTTCTGCATTTATAATTCTTTCTTAAGGTTACATCATAAAGACATTTTCCCCCGAAATTACAAAGTGAGTGAGGCAGTGTTCTAGTCGTTCTAGTCTGTCAGACATAAAAGTAAATAATAAAAATTTTTTCAGTAAAATTCGGAGCTTGAGAGCTGCTTGAGTTGATCAAGTGGCTATGCGCTTGGCACCTTGCAATATAACCGCAAAACGGAAAAATCCATTAAGTATTAAGCAATTGATCTGCACTCTGAACTTTGTAATACACACAGGGTTTTTTTCTTAATTGCAGATGGATAGATAAATCAGACCTACTTCAAAGCTGGTCTAATTAATAATGAACCATCTCTCTGCCAGGGGAACAACAGTACAGCTTTAGACGATTCTCAAACCATAGAGCTGAAGGCAAAAAAATATGATTACCAGGCCTAAAGTGGAAGGGGAAACAGATACATGGTAGATGTTCAACAAGAAAAAGAAAAAAAACAAAACACAACAAGGGTACTTATTTAGAAAGAGTTGGATGAGTTAGATTGAACTGAAGCTTGCAACTCATTTTCTTGTAATATATCTGGTGGTTCTGTCTCAGATAGAAAACACTGGGCCAAAAATAAATAAAGCTAAACTCTTTGGCCTGTAGTTACATTTTACAAAGCCCTCTGAGATAGAAACTTAACCTAAACCTGGAAAGGAGCTTTAGCTACAGCTAGATCCAGCTCGCTCTGATCAAGGAACAGACAGAAAGGTTCTTCCAACTTAAGTTGTGGATGACCCAGTTTCTATGTTGGGTGTTTTCTTTTAAGAGCTGTATTTGGTTGATGTTCTTGCTCATTGCTGATCCTGTCCATGCATGCATGTTAAGGGTGTTGAAGGCTTTGTCACTAACGGATCTGTACCAGATGCACAATCTGTAACATCAACTCCCTGTCACGTGAGCAACTACGAATACATTTAGATCACTATTGAAAAAATCAGTTACAGTACATAGAATGTCTTTTTCTATCCTTATGTAAAAAAATCTTAGCAAAGTACTTTGAAAAATATATTAAAAATGACTTTGCTGACAGAATTAAATCATTTACATAATTTCTTTTACGTCTCTTGTTTATGTCACCACCACACATGCTCGGGGCAGTCCTACAAAATATGATTGCTCTTTATTTTTGTGATGTTTTTCTCTAGATTACACACTATAAACTTTAGAAGTACAATGAAATACAAACATAAACCAATAAATGACCAAAACCAAAAAATGTCCTGCAAGAAGTACGACACAGATCAGGTACACATTAGTGATACAATAAACAGGATATAAACACACTCATTCGCTCAGCAAAATTATTATTAATATTTTAGATTTTGTAGTTCAATATGCTTTTTATAATTAAACGACAGAAATAAGTCCTTTTGGAAATGTTTCGTAACGCACATCTAGTGCGATTAAGATCTATTAGTGGTTGTGCATGCATACAAGAGCTTGTGGTATGGATTCCGGCACAGATCGGGTATGGAGTACAGGTCCGGTAGTGACAGCCTACATGGCTTTAGATGCTTCAGATGTAGTCAGAAGTTTGTCATATACACTTAAATCAGGCTTCGCCTGTATTGGGTCTGAGACTGAGGTTTTTCAATAATAACTCTAAGAAATAGGCCTTATATGCACATAGAGATGCTCACAATTATGGGGATAACAAAAACAAAATAAATGGATGAGTTAAAGTGTTATGCTTATTCCATTTGTTCTAATTCTAAATTTCTCTGATCAGTATTAGAGACAGAAAACTTCTGATAGGAAAATTATAAATTAACAATAAAAGTTGTCTAAGGCTAATGTCTAAATCTTATTTAAATATGTAGTGTAGTGTAAAATTCTGAGTCCTAATGGGTTTTTCCAAAACCCTAGCTGTTCAATCCTAATCATTACATCCTTATTTACTAAAATTAAATTTCAACAACAAAGCTAAATAGATTCCAGTTGGGCCACACTGCAGGACTCTTATTGATGAGTTTTAAAAAAGGATAAGTCAGTTTATCAGAGTTCTTAGTGTGTACATTTGTATGGTTTTCATTTTCTGATTCTTTTTCTGTGTATTTTGACCAAATTTATTCAGTGGTGTTTACTTATATTGTGTAACAGCCAAACAAAAC